GAAAGGGGCAACTTGTAGATAATATATTCCACGTTGCCAATATATATTCAATATGAGCCAGAAATGAGGGGCAACAAGGTTGCCAATATACGTACGTCAACCCCGTTCTTCTTATCTACAATTGGCAAAACATCTACAATTAGCATAGCATATCTTGAACCTTCTAGCTCACATCTTCTCAATATGGCTGCAGGAGAAGAAGAAGAAGAAGAAGAAGAAGTGCTTCTCAGCCTCTTTGATTCATACTGGTTTGAACATGGAATTTTGAGCAAGAAATCCCCTTCAAAACCCCAAGAAGCAACGAACCCAAGTCTCCAAGTGGACCAATCAGCCCAAGAAGCAACCCAACAACAAGTACCAAACTTCCAAAGCCTTTCATGCTTGCCAAGATCTCTAAGTGACGACCAATCTTCAAACACCAAAGGGAGCCTCTTCTCTTCTGATTCTCTCTCCCCACACTCAATCCTCATGAGCACCACACCAAAATTCCAAACAGTTTTCTCTGGTAAACAAGTCACAGAGTTCTCCAAACAAAGTGTGAAACGAGAACAAGTGCCAGCAGCTCAGACAAAAAGGGTCCATGGTCATGGTGAAAGAAACAGAAGTAGAAGAAGAGTAGGGCCCAGCAAGAGCTTGTCTGACCTGGAGTTTGATGAGCTCAAGGGTTTTATGGATTTGGGTTTTGTGTTCACTGAGGAAGACAAGGATTCAAAATTGGTTTCCATAATTCCTGGTTTGCAAAGGCTTGGAAGTATTGGGGAACAAGATAGAGATGGAGAGGATCAGAGAAATAATAATAATGATAATAATATTGATCCAAGTAGTCATCATGTGGTTTCAAGGCCCTATCTGTCTGAGGCTTGGGATGCTTTGGATCAAAGAAAGAAAGAGAACAAATTGGTGAATTGGAGAATACCAGCTAATTTAGGTAAGGGCATGAAGCATAATCTCAGGTTTTGGGCTCATACTGTTGCATCAACTGTAAGATAACAACACTACTCTTTTCTTTTCCTCTTTTTCTACTTGGATTCCTTGGAATAAATCATGTACATTAGCTAGGTTGTATTTTGTTACTGTCACACCGATAAATTACTTACTTATTATCGGATATATTTTGCGGTTAGCATTATAAATTTTGTAAATGTAAATTTTGTTTTCCATTTTTTTTTTTTTGGTTATGAATGTAATTAAGTTGGTAGGATGCCCCTTCTCTGTGCTATTTTTTTTTCTTTCTAAATTTCTCTTTGTTCAAGTTTGTGGGTTTTTTGGAAATTTTGTTCTAATGAAATAAAGAGATAATGTATCATAGCTGTGCTATATTTGGTTAGGATATTCTACCTACCACTAATTCATTTGGATTAATGCTCATGGACTGATAAAAAAAAGTTTTTCACAAGTAGACCTATTTTAACATGACATTTTGTTTTTAAAAAAATCCTTAAAGTCCAATACTTTAAAATAATAATATTAAAAACTCTGTGTTTACGTTTAAGCGAAAAAATTGTAACACACTAAGAACCAATTACAAAAGAACAAATGACTAATTGAGAGGTTTTTTTTTTTTCTTCTTCTAAATAAGCCCTTTAAAAGTTTTTTATTATTATAAAATATCATGTTAAAATGGGTTTATTTATAAAAAAAAAGGATCAATAAATGTCCCATTTTCTTAATTCAGGGAGTTTCACTAAAACACCCAAAATGGGGGCTGAAATTATAAAAACACCCAATACCCAAAACACTTTATAAACACACCCAAAACCCATCATTACACACACTCAAAACCCATTTATAAACACACCCAAAAAATATACAATTATTGATTTTGGGTGTGTTTCTATGTTTAAATAGTGTTTGGGTTTTTTTATAAATACATGTCTAGGATTGGGTTTATTTATAAATTTGTATTACAAGGTAATTGTGGGAGATTATGAGATCATTCAAACTTTTTGGGTTTTTTTAACTTAAAAAAAAAGAGTAAATCTTGTCACGTGGTACTCGCTATTTCTCCTTTTTGAATTCTAAAGCACGTTTTGACGACATACAACTGCAGTTTATATACACCTGTAAAATTTAAAAGATAAACACAAGTTAGCCAACTGGAAGTTATTTCTTCCATCAAGTCACATGTGATTTCTGCACGTGTAGATTTATTTTTTGGGCTAGTTGTGTTGTGTGGCTATCATATGTTAAAGAAAATGAAAGAAAGAAGCAGAGTAGGGGTGGGAATAAGTTGGGTTGGGTCGGTTTTGGTCCCAACTCGTCACTCAACTCATAAGTATATAATTTCTTAAATTCAAGATTCGCTTATTATTAAGCCAATCTAACTCAATTCAATCTTTTTATTATTGGGTAGAGCGTTTCAGTTAAATTAATTTAAAATTATGCACACTTCTGAATTTTGGTCCCAACCCGTACAAAGCGGGGTTTGCATAAACTCTTATTTTATGATATGGTGGACCACAACATCACTTATTAAACTATTTAATGTGTACCTCTTTTATTAAAGATCTAATGTAATACAGACAACAAATATCTAATTATTATTCTACGTCTGTCTAATTTAATACAAAATATATATTGTCCTTCTAGTCAACTTCCAGCCTAGACAGATTAAATTTCTCACCGTACAGATGCATGTGATGTATATATCAATAATTTAAAGCAAAACGGTAATATACAGTACTTGTCCTAGAGACTACAGAGAAGTATGTAATTAAAGATACTTCTGATTAATTCTTAATTATGGAATCTGGAAGAATCAATTTCAGGATGGTTAATCTCTGACAAACTTCTCTCATAGATACCCTCACTTTGATGGAAAGTCGAAACCTCGTCGATGGTACGTAAGAGTATGTGATATACCGATATGATATTACGAGTTCACTTAAATCATGATATGTGTGCATTTATTAACATTTAAGCTCTTATATAAACTCAGTACACGAGTTATAATTTGTGACTTATATAATACTATGTTGGCATTCAAGAAGTATTACCATTGTGCACAATAGTTTTTCCTTCTAATATCTACACAATATATGTTGATCTTGATTCTTGTAGTTACTTTCAAACTTAACTGTTTAAATATCTACTTTAATTAGCTAATTTAAACAATAGAAAACATAAGGAAAACAAGGGTTGGTTTAAGAGTTTAGTTTTGTGGTAGCCACGGGTCTAGTTCAGTGGAAAAGTACCTCGACTTGTAGACTAGTGGTCTCAGGTTCGAGCTTCTATGACACTTTGGTCGTGTGTGTAAGAAATCTCGCCCTTCCCCCACCCACGATCCCTTTTATAGTTTAGATTATCGCTTGTATGAGTTTAGACTATCCCTTTAAAGTTTTAACAGCTAAAATTGGGCGATATATCCAACTATCTAACCGTTGACTACTAAACTATGTATAATGTATTGACCCTCAGAATAACCTACCATTATTGCACATCCACAGAATTATAAGATGTAGCGCATCCACATGGCATAACCATTTTGACATGTGACACAACTGTAATGATTGCTAATCTACTTACAATTAAATTACATACAATTGCTTTGTAAGTTGAGATGGAAAATCACAATTTTAAGAAGTTATTTTTCTTGGTAAGTAGGTAGATGTCAAATTACGATTGATCTACTTATCTCAACTTGTAAGGTGTGGTACTGAAATACTGCCACAAGTAAAACTAATTCATTCATGTTATAACGTATAAATAAATTCGTTACCGACCCATATTATAAAACTTAAATTAATTATATCACGTGATCATCTTGTAAGCATCGTTCCGGTGAAAACATGACCCCATGTGACCTCTATTAAAATTAAAGCCTTTTACCTTTCTTGTTTCTCTTTAAAACTCTATGGCATATTGATTAATATGATATAACTAATAAGTTTCGACTTGAGTTGTAATATAGTACTTAGGAAAAAGAAAGAAA